AATAGTGTGTGATTTTTGAATCCGTTGTAAATCTCGTGATTCAAACGAACCGTAAGTTAAACACGAGATTAGCCAACATTTGCCTTAAATATTCAAAAAGTTATCAAGAATTCAATTCATACTAACCCTGAGTCTTGAGAGACCTTTAAAATTATCTAAATTTCAATTGGGTTTACATTTAGTGAAAGTCTTTAGTGATTAGGATCCGTTTAATAGACAGACAATGAGTTCAGTTGTCATAAAACCCATACTTTTATTGTCTCTGATTTGCTATTCATGTTATCTGAGCGCCGGACTCCTGACAGACCAACCATTAATAGACAGCACCGGATCTGTACGGACACAGCACTGGTATGTATGCACTGCATACTATGCAGACATCACTTGTTAATGTTATAATGTTATTAACATTATAATAAAACATTATTTCAATCACTGCATGCAATCTTATATAAGTAATAAAAATTAAATTTATTTAAAACTATTATTTTTAAATATAGTTAATTAGCTAAACCAAATTTATTTTAGATTTATTTACCAAAACTATTAATATATTTGCGTTGTCATCAGGATAACCATAAAATGTTACCGGGTAATTTATTTGTTTGTATTTCACTACCTAACTTTACAAATATTTATTATTTAACAGGCATAATTTTTACATTACAATTTATTATTTATTTTATTACTGATTACCAAACTAGGTTAGATATATTTTTATTAGTTTTAAGTTAAAAATTATTAACTTATCATGTAACAATTATAAACTTAATATAATTATAACTTTTTAATTAGGTTTTATCATGGCATTTGCCATAATACTAGCTAGCTCATCATTGTCCAGCGCCTACACCACTGAGACCTATGGCACCGGGAATTATAACTACTACAACAGTAGACAGACCAGACGCTGGGGTGGGACCGGCACTCCAAACGGCTATTATGGAGTAACTGGCCAACTGGGAACTGGACGTTATTAATATGGTGGTACCACTTACAGACCGGGTGGGTACACAGGCTCCCAGCGCCGGGGTATACTAACTACCCGTATGGCACTGGTAGCCCGGGTTATGGGGGTCATACTGGCACCTACCGTGTGTACGGCACTGGTAGGCCCTACACAGGGGGATTCTACCAAGGAACTACTCGTGATCATTAAATAATATACAAATATGTGAGTTATATAATGTTATTAAGATTTAACAAGTACATAATTTTTAATATTTTCTTATTCTTATGATGTACTTATTGATAGACCCTGAAAATATATTATGAAATTATATAATAATAATAGTAATTAAAATATAATTTTTTTATTTAAATTACATATTAATATGTCTATAGCTTAATAAATTACAATAATAATTTATATACTTACGTAAAGTATAATTGTTATTTTTCAAATGTAAATGATTAATTTAATTAAATTAATTACAATAAAATATTTAATTATTTCAAATAAATCTAATTAATTGTGAAACACATGTACTCTAGTGTTAGTGAAGTATTGGTTGTATTTCATTGTAAACCAAATCCATAGCAAACGGATTCTCAGTGTTAACCAAATGATGAAGTCTTTGCCATTAGTGCCAAACTATAGACCAATTATAATGGCATATCAATTGTAAATCATATCAATGATAGCCATCATGAGGAGCTCATAATAACCGGTAATTTCATTAGTTCTCGGTTTACCCTTTAGTCGGTTATTGAGTACAATATGTGCTAATCGTATACATGTTGTAGAAAATAGTTCGCAAAACAGTAAAAATGGAAAAATACCCAAACATTTAAGTCAATTAATTTAGTCTTTTATAAGTAATATTTTAAAAATCCATTGATATGTTAAGTTGTGATAACATGTACTTTATTAGTATTAAACAAATATTGATAAAAACTCGTATTAAACCAAATCCACAATGAAATCAATTTCTTCGTCAACCAAATGATGAAGTC